AAGCAAAGTCCTCTCTCGACAAACAAAAACCAAACTCTATAAGTCACTCATAATACCCGTCCTGCTATATGGTGCAGAGGCTTGGACGATGTCAACAACAGATGAGTCGACGTTGCGAGTTTTCGAGAGAAAAGTTCTGCGAAAGATTTATGGTCCTTTGCGCGTTGGCCGCGGCGAATATCGCAKTCGATGGAATGATGAGCTGTACGAGATATACGACGACATTGACATAGTTCAGCGAATTAAAAGACAGCGGCTACGCTGGCTCGGTCATGTTGTCCGGATGGACGAAAACGCTACAGCTCTGAAAGTATTCGACGCAGTATCCGCCGGGGGAAGCAGAGGAAGAGGAAGACCTCCACTCCCTTTCAGGAACCAAGTGGAGAAGGAGCTGACTTCACTTGGAATATCTAATTTGCGCCACGTAGCGAAAAGAAGAAACGACTGGCGCGCTGTTGTTAACTCGGCTATAATCGCGTAAGCGGTGTCTACGCCAATCAAGAAGAAGAAGAAAGTGAAAGGATAACATATATTATATAATCTTTAAATAATCTGTACATATCCGACAGTTTGTACTAGCGTCATTGTGGAATCTGTACAGGTAGCCTCTAAAACAGTCATTGCCACTAAGTATTTGGGTCAAATTGAAATGCAGGTCACCATGATAGCTTGTACAATATCTTCACTTCATTTCCATGGTGATAAAGGGTGGCTTACCACCTAAGCAGTAACGTAAGTAACGCTATGTTTACCCCAATTAGTTTTATTTGAAAGCAACAGTCTTTAGGTGACAGTTCCTGCTATTCATTCGCCCAACTCAGCTCATTATTCTATGCGATGTTTACCATTCTTGGCATGAAAGCCGGATATTAGGCAAAAGATTTCGACCTAAGCTAACAGTAATTATTATATTGGCGCAATTACAAGTGATATATTTGCACCTAAGGTATTATCATTGCGAAGCAACTATTTCGCAAGGCTAGTATGCGTTTCGAGCCTAAATGGAGTCAAATTTGAAGCAATTTTTCGCCGAATAAATGTTTATTTGAATAGCCAACGCTTTTTGCTCTTCATTCATACTTATCGCGCTCTCAAAAGATAAATGACTTTTTGTTTACATACAAGAACAGGGCACTTTAATAATTTGTGTGTATTCACCTGTCGCTGCTCGAAATCGCTTTTATTGCCAAAAAATATAGCTGGTAGTAAGTGCAATAAAGATAAAAAACAATAACACTATGCTGCGTAATATTTTCAGTTTTACTGACAGCATGGCACGAAATTCGCAAATTTTTGAATTTTTTGGAAACTTAGCGAACACAGTGATTTTGAGCCCAGACGATATCTGGCTATGTAGTAAAGTGTAGTCAAATAAAAAAGTGAACACAGTGCAAATATTTGTAAACAATTTGTTGTACCCAATTAAAAGAATAAAGACACTTCGAAACTAGAATAAACACTGTGTACATATAACAACAGCACTACCTGTGGCGGTGATTGTGGGCAAAACATCAAATAAGACCGTGTGTACATAATTGTTTGTACATGTGTACGATATACATAGTTAAATCGTAACGTCACTGCCACCGCTACTGTCGGAAAGAAACTAAATCAACACATATTCACATCCTGTCAATTGCTTTTGCTGTGCGGGAGAGGAAATATAAAATTCCAAAGCCAACTGTTAAAAATTTCCTCCTAATATTGTATGTCATGAGTCATTGAGCAAAGTAGAGAGATAGAAAGGTGGAAATTGTTTTTTATGAAATTTTCCTCTATTTACCGGTACGTTTGTTTTTATATGTGGCAATTAAATTTATGTGAGACCAATTTGGTTTTCACAGCGGACTTGACCACAACTGAGTGTCAAACCAGTTTATTGTGGACCATAATTCCATAAAAGTAGCGGTAACCATTAATTGAAAAAAAAACCAAGTGAAATCAAGGAATGCACGAAACATTTAATAATACTATTTTCTCAATTAATTAATACTACTTTATTATCAACGGTTGATTTCCCCTTTAATTAGAGCTGCTTGGCGACATTTTGTAATATTATAGATTATATTATAGATACCACATAAATACATATATATTATATTTTATTAAGATGATATGACAGTGTACCGTACAATTTACTGCTTTACGGGCGGAATAAAACAACTAGTTGAAGCTTGGATATAGACGAATCGGACAAACTACAGGCATAAAATTGGTTTAATGGCATAGTAGAATCAAGCGAACGAGAACTATTATAACCCGTATTTGAGGTGAGATATATGAAACCTTATTCGTTCTATTTCGAATTTTTCGAACTGAGGTATAAGAAATCCGTACACAAGGCTTACTTTTTTTGCTGTTATGGCATATTATGAATACAATAAATAAACTAAAATGAAGCTGAACCGTGAACATATTATCGTATATTAAGTTTACTACGAATTTGTAACACCAGGATGGAAATGTCGCAGACCCTATAAAAGATGTGTATAACTGATGAGCTGAAATTATCTAGCGATGTCCTTCTGTTTCTCCGTCTGTCTGTTCATCTATATATACACGAATCACTCCCTCAGTCTTGAGATATCGTTTTGAATTATTACATACGTTTTCTTGTCCCCAAATGCGGGATAACTATATCATATAACTGCCATATACACTGAACAATCAAAATTAAATTTTTGTGAAGAACTTTTTTATTTAAATTTGGCATGGAAAATTTTTTGAAGAAACGATAAAATCGCGGAACATATTCTTCAGATCGATGTGCTATGTCGTTAAACGATCGGGATCAAGTATTGTATGCAAATTTTTTTTAATTTCTAAAGGATTTATAGGGGTATTCACGAAATAATAAAACTTTAACCTTTTTTTCACTGTATTTTATTTTACTTGAAATTACACAGATAAATGTGAAGTTGCGTTAGCACTTTTAACAAACTTAGTGCTATAAATAATTTACTACTTAAAATTACTTTATATTTTGCTAAATTTTTAATTGTGATGAAGAATACAACTTAAAACATATTATTTATGTTAAATTTAAGAAATATTGTTGAAAATTTGTAAATGCGAAAAAACAATATTTTATGTTTTAAAAGATGAGTGATAGACACAAAATTAATATAAGGCATATTTAAATCATAATACAATAATTATATAATCAATATTCTAAAGAAAACCTCAAAGACTACATGACCTTCGAAATATTATTTAATAAAAGAGTTGAATAGGGAAATGTTTATTATTACAAGATATAATAGAGGTTTGATAATATCGGTGGTAAATAACTGCAATTATAACAGAGAATTTGTAGTAGTAGTAGCATATTTAGTTATTTTTTTTATAATTATAGATTGGTGTTCTTATGTTCTTTTCATTAAATACTGACTATATCAAGATGTGTGTGCAAAACTGCTGTCTGCCTATCTAATAGAAAAAGCTAAGGCCGATTCCTTCGAACAGATTTAGCTCAGTTTAACCTTTTTTGATCTTTACACTTCATTATCAAGACTAATTTAAGTCAACGTTGTGCAAACTTCTTAATTGCTTAATTCTCCAACAGTGTTTTAAAAAAACTTTCAAAAGAACTTCTCAGATAAAAACTACGGGATGTGCACACAGTCATCTTAAGGCGAGCAAAATGACAACCACTTATCGTTTTTTGCTAAAGTTCATATAAAGTTAAATTATAGACGTTTGAAAGAAACAAAAGGAAAGCTTAGTGTAAAATATTGGATAACTTTGGTTGCTACTAAGCTTCAGTAGCCTCTGGTAATCTGGATATACATATATAGATACATACTCACTACTGCAAAAGCGGGTAAACTGATTTATACTATACAAAAGACTTCAGCTTAATCTGACTTGCTACAGCTTTTGAATAAATATAAATATCAAATAACTAATAGCAACATGTCTACCCTAGATTTCCGATTACCTGTACATAAAATCGATAGTAGCGCACATAATATTTTCGCCAAAGGTTCAACAAATACCGCCAGAACATCATTTTGAGCTATTTCAGCCGCTTACTAATGGTGTCCAAATAATTGCCGCCATTATACGCCTTACTTGTGGCCCAGTCTTTTGCGTTAACTTCATGAATACCGCCACCAGCGCCGCTATAATAGGAGCCAGGAAAGCTACTGCCAATGAATGAGGAATAATCTGTCCGCGTGTGTCGTCATCAGAGTGAACCGTTTATGTGCAAGCAAAATAAAAGGAAGGTATTATAAAAGAGAACCATAATTGACAATGGCAAGTTTTTGCGTAAGCATATGTTAATAAATATCGGTGTACATTATTTGAATTGTTCGACCCAGTTTTGTGGATTCGCCACTTACCAGCCAGATCGGAGTCGTAGACGTGCGAATGCGACTGCACCAAATGCGGATGTATTTTACACAAAGTCTTGAATTTTAGATAGTGTATCAACCAGCCCATGCCGCCCACCAACAGCACATTCAGCCCAAGAACGCCTAGCAGCAGAGTCACAACGCTCATTTTGAGGTGGGCGATTTTCAGCAGAATGATGAGTGGCAGTATGACGAGCCATTTGCGGCGCTTGCGGTCATGGCGTGAACGCCCATCTTTGCGTTAATAAATTACGAAAGCATAGAACTATATTTGAAGCGCATTTGTTATATGAAAATTCAAGTAGACTGAACTTACCAACTTCGGAGTCCACGATGCGCGCACCTGTTTCGCTGGATAACTTCACTTGTACGGCATGATTGCGGCTAAAGGTCTCGGCTGCACGTTTGAGAAACTTCGCTATGCTCACAAACTCACTATCACCTGAAATATAATCGCAGATGTGGACGAATGCACGAATACAAATAGGTTAAACTAACCAAACCAAACCAAATAATTGATTATTCAAAGCAAAACTATTAAGTACAAATATTGCCGTTTACATATATTGCTAAGCTAACAACAGGAAGGTGAATTTAACGACTGGAGAAAATTTTCAAGATATTCTCTATGCTGCACTTGTCCCAACCGATTTTATATTTATTTAATTTTAAACCTTTCGATGGATACATATTTTTTAAAAAGGAAATAGTTTTTATTTCATTTTATAATATTATAAGTTGGTGTCTAGCATCGGCAAGGCTACTCTTTAACCATTTGGGGGCCCAACGGTATAAGATGCTGAAAAAAGTATCGTTTGCTTAGGCATCTTAAAGGATGAGTACTTCATAACGGAGGTTCTTTTGGTATCGCAAAGTACCAAAACTGGCCCATGCGTTTCTCATTACCCTATCTGACTAACTTATCCTAACCTTTATGACAACTCATGGTTCACCAACAGATAGTTATGCTGTTAATTTAGTCTACAACAACTAACTCGATAGATATATACTTTAATATGTTTTAACAACCATGTACCCAGTTTGAAAGCTATTTAGAACTTTTATTTGCGTCGTAAATGTTAATATTAATTATTGGTGATTTTAATTTGCTTAAAGGATCTAATAAACATACAGCAATACCTACGTATATACTACATATATGTATGGATACACGCTCTACCTGTCGCTCTAACACGCTTTTGCTTACCTTGTAAACTCCGAGCATCGTGAAAAACCATAATATCAGCCGGCTCCCCTAGCTGTATGACGCGAACTCGACGTTGATCCTCCGCCAATGCACGACTGTACTCATTGGGGAAGTAGCCAAGCTTGTTGGTAGCCAACATCCAAACTATTTTCGAAGCTCTGTATTTAATACAGGAAAGCAAGCTTCGTTTCTCGAAACAAAGCCGCTGATTACGTTCCAGGTATTCATCGCTGTGCAGTATTACGTTATCTTTTGTGGTCCCATTATAAGCCAAGGCCTTGGCATAGGTAGGCAATGAATTGGCCACTCTCTGAGGCATAACATTATGCAATATATCCTTTGTATTTAGACCAAAATGTTCAACGTTGGTTTCGTTGTTAGATTCACCCTCAGATTTTATTTCCACATGGTCACTGACACTGAGCAGAACTGTTCGTATTAACAACAACAATGTAAAGGCAAATCTAGATGACATGTACATTATTCTAAGTCCCGGTGCACATACACATATACACAAATATCACAAAAATCACCGAATACTACAAGCGCACAATTTCGGTGTCTTCACACTTCACACGCGATATGATAGCTGTTTGAACAACTGTCCGCTTCGTAGATTTGCTTGCTTTGCGAACTCGAACTTGGCCACCAGTCTAGTCCATACACGGTGATCAAATGCCAATCTCGACACTGAACAATTCCTTTTATCACAACCTACAGACAACTAACTGTGAGACAAATGCAACCCGCTTGAGATTACCATACGCACCGGAACCGGTATCTCAGGAGCCGCCAATAAATGCCTTCGGCTCATTCCAATTGGTCGTTACCGCTGAGTGCATTGTCGTTGAAAAGCCGCATTGTCTCAACGAAACAATACTGACGCCATCATCGGAAGGAGTGAAAACAAAACAATATAGCGTCAGTATGTGGATATAACTTTGTTTTTGTCCACACCATTTAATTGCAACTTCGCTTCTAACTGGGTCAGTGCAAGCGGGCACCGGTACGCGCATAAACGACGATGTCTGCCCCAACCATCACAAGATCATAAAATCCAATTGCTGCGTTGCACAGCATCAACTTAGCCGACGATAAAGATGCGTAATGCGCAAATGAAATCACATTTGAGCATAAATAATCGCACAGTGTGTCTAAACAGCAACTGAAAACATCTCCCTGATATCTCCGAAGCATTCATTTAAATATGAAACGAAATACAGATTACACAAATTACACAGAATACGAAGAAAGCCGAAAGCCCTAAGATTGTAAGTGGAATGTTATGGAAAACAATTACCGTTTCATTTAAATTTCTGTGGAAAGGATATATAGTACATGGGTCTGATAGTGTGGGGTTGTCGCTAGAATACGCATTATTAGTATTCCAAACGAACTAGAAGGGTAAATTTTCGTAGAAGACTTTCAGTCCGTCGCGCCAGACTGCTTTAGCTAAAGATGGGACAATATGTGGTATGAATGTTATCGATGTCATGTGTATGATCAGATTAATTAGGACCGTATCCGCGCTGGCATTAATAGAAATCTAAAGTAATTGATATCAGCAGTGCTTAAAAATGAAAAAATAATCATACTTTGACTCACAGCCCAATGGCGGCACTAACGAAAAGGAAATTGATTATTAACTTGCACATTTTAAAAGACAGCTATTGTCAACTCAGCCGAATCGCGCTCGTAGACAAAACGTGGATTCATTGGTACACCCTAGAGACCACAAAACGGTGCTAACGCACCTGCTCCGAAGAAGACTGCCATATCGGCAGAAGAGATGGTCGCCACCGTTTTTTGGTATATTACGTAAGGTCGACTACCCCGATACGACGTATTAACCCACTTGATTTCTGTATCTCTGATAACTCTTTGCACAATGTGATTGAATTCAAAAGTGTATCCCCTACAGAGAGATTTGAAAAAAAAACTCTTCGCAAGATATAGGCGTGCAATTCATTAAGAGCACTACTTGGGTTAATCCTACGCAGTCGTATCACACTCAATCGGTTCACGTTCTTACTTCATTTAGGCACATATGCTTTCATACATATGTACTATTTTTACCGAAAGTTACGACAATTGTGCGGAGTTGTCCACAGTGACTTGCTCCAACTGACATTCACGAGCAACACTCTCAGTGTGGAACCAAACCGACAGCAAAGCTTGTTAATCGGAGCGAACTTGCATCATGACATTTGCAATGCCACATTCAGCCAGCTCCAGTTTTAATAACAACAATAGGCCCGGGAAAAAGCGAAGTTAATCCAAAAAGACATACTGATCGACTGACGGACTGATTGACTAGAGCAGCAGTGCTACATATATCCAATAAATATGTATAATTTATATGTGGATAAATGTATGTAAGTACATAAATACATAAAATTAACGGGCACGTTTGCCGCAAGGAAATGAAAGTAAAATTAACAAAACCTGATGTGAGCGATATCAATGAAATAAAAGCAAAAGCGGAGTAGCAATTTTTTCTCCTATCGATTATCACAAATTGTGCTAATAATGCAACCGTTGAAGCTGCAAATGTTCATAAGCGTGGCATGTGTGTAATATTACCAGTGATACTCACATACACACCGGCGCCCATTGTTATTGTTTACTTCAATATGCATTTGATTTTGTGGTATTGCCTATGCCGGTGCCGGCCGTTATTCTCACTTCACTGCAAAGCAACAATCGATTCACCGTGCTGGCGCCAGCCACCAAGCCACTTCGAATGGTTGTCACTGTGCGCACGTTTTTACTGGTGTTTATGCCTCACGCAAGGCAATCGATATATTGTTGCTCGCCACAGACCGCATAACAATGCGTTAATAACATTAATTAACATAAGTGCGAATAGTAAGGATAGCTGCATGTATTGAACGGCCGGTGGTTAAGCATATTTATTTTGCCTTTTCGGTTTTTACTTTTAACTATTCCAATCACTATACTTTCGATTGGTGCTTGATTAAAGCGATTTTTGCGAAAGTTTTCGGTTTGGCTAAATCGTACCAATATCCTTTACCATGTGCCTGGCTTTGTACGGAGTTATTAGCTCGACAATTAGTGTCATTAACGCTTGGCAGCTTTCCCATGAATTGTTTTATACAAATAGTAACTAAAAATTTTTTTATTCGGCTAATTTCTTATTTAGCAATGATATAGCAAACCCAGTCATCGCCGATTTCTTACTTTGCTTTGACAAGAGATAGCCAGAGGGAAGTAAAGTCGGGTTTGTGGAGTAATGATCTTGTAACATCTTAAGGAATTTGAGTTATATAAATATAGGGTTAGATATAATGAAATGATCAGCATCTCTCCTTAGTTCCAGTTTTAATGCATTTATGAACTTATAGAACTAATTGAGTCAATGGAGTCGCCTTCCTGACACATAGATGGCGCTACTAGAATTAAATTCATATCATTTTTGTTAAGCCTAACCTTGACAAGGTGCGTGTATAAATTTGACAGCGGTCGGAATTATATCATTTCGAATGAAGGAACTTTTGTTATTGTGAGGAAATGGATAAAAAGGAATTTCGCGTGTTGATAAAATGTTGCTTTTTGAACTGAAATAATACAGTTGAAGAAACCTTGGCTTCATGACGAGTTTCCGGACATTACCCCAAGAAAACTCTACCATTAAGGATTGGAATGCTAAGTATAGATGTGATGAAATGAGCACCGAAGACGGTGAAAGCAGTGGACGCCCAAGCGAGGACAGGACAATATCCAGTTATAACAGAGTTACGAATTACATATTTTGTGAAGCAGTTGCATATTAGTCCAATGCCAGAAACCTGATCCCGCTGACGGACTTCAGTAACGCATTCCCGAAGCAATTGTAGATACAAAAGTTCTTTTCAAAAATAATAATCTTAGTGAAAAACTTAAACTGCTAAAGGTATTGTGTTGCATTATACTATATAATGGATGACTTTTGCCGTAAGACTCAATAAGATCAATGATATTCAAAGTAAGCTTTAAATTCACTAAAAGCAAAAGATGAGATGTTAAAATGTTATAAAACACTCAAATTTGGTCAAAATGAAAATCTGCAGTTTTATTTGGAAAAATGTCTCATAAAAAGTGAACTTAGATGCTTTCTGCTTTCAAAAGTTGAATTGCTTATCGAGTAAATAATCAATACTTGAAGATTATTTATTAATTAATTTTTCCCAATAAATATTAAATATTTATTAAAGTATGTGGTTATAATGAATCGCGAACGTTTTTTTTTTTTTATTGTTGGCATTTACGTGGTCTCAATAACGAGTTACATCGATTGGTGTGAATTTAATAATGCACTTTCCTTTATTGATGTGAATTGAATAATAAACAAGTAAGGAAGGGCTACGTTCGGATGCAATCGAACATTTTATACTCTTGCAACCCATTTTTGATACACAGAGTTGTTATTGTCAGGATTTCTCAATCAATTCCAATTGTATACCCCATACATTGACCGATATTTTCAGTCAAAAGTAAACTGTAGATACTGGGGCTCAGATATTTGGAACCTCTGGGCTTGAACAGTTTTGGTTGCATTTGGTAATAAAGTGGCATACTTTAAAGGAATTATTAATGCAAAATTCTCGATTTGTGTGCTGGAAAATGAAAGAATGAAATGGATTTTAATTTTTGCACTGTGACGTAGAAATATGTGAAGAATGCCACGTACTAAACGGTGGGTTGGGTTCCGAGATTTATGATGCCGTCTCCCACAAAACCCTCTCAAACCTCGTAGGTAAAACTAAATGTCTCTGGCGTTCGTTATCGATTTATTGCGCTTTACTGATTTTCGCAGTACTGTACTGATTTTGAAGCACCTGTTCTTTGGTTTTTTATACTCTCGTAACAAGGTTGCTAAGGAGAGTATTATAGTTTTGTTCACATAACGGTTGTTTGTAAGTCCTAAAACTAAAAGAGTCAGATATAGGGTTATATACACCAAAGTGATCAGGCTGACGAGTAGAGTTGAAATCCGGATGTCTGTCTGTCGGTCCGTCCGTCTGACAGTCCGCTCGTCCGTGCAAGCTGTAACTTGAGTAAAAATTGAGATATCATGATGAAACTTGGTATACGTATTTTTGGGCTCCATAAGAAGGTTAAGTTCGAAGATGGGCAAAATCGGCTCACTGCCACGCCCACAAAATGGCGGAAACCGAAAACCTATAAAGTGTCATAACTACGCCATAAATAAAGATATTAAAGTGAAATTTGGCAAAAAGGATCGCATTAGGGAGGGGCATATTTGGACGTAATTTTTTTGGAAAAGTGGGCGTGGCCCCGCCCCCTACTTTTTTGTACATATCTCGAAAACTACTATAGCTATGTCAACCAAACTGTATAGAGTTGTTTCTTTAAGGCATTTCCATATACAGTTCAAAAATGAACGAAATCGGATAATAACCACGCCCACCTCCCATACAAAGGTTATGTTGAAAATCACTAAAAGTGCGTTAACCGACTAACAAAAAACGTCAGAAACACTGAATTTTACGAAAGAAATGGCAGAAGGAAGCTGCACCCAGTCGTTTTTTAAGAAATGAAAATGGGCGTGGCGTCGCCCACTTATGGACCAAAAACCATATCTCAGGAATTACTCGACCGATTTCAATGAAATAATATTTTCTTAACACTCTGATAACATGTACGAAA